AGCTAGAAAGTTTTAGCTTCTTAAAAACATCTGTTCTTTGATACTAATTTTTTAGTATAAGCCCTGTGATGCAGTGTTAAACTGCAGTAGTGCAGCTAAAAAACTCTGCTCACAACCCAGGTTCAATCCCAGATACAGTGGGGTCTCTACTTAAGAACTTAATCCGTATTGGAAGGTGGTTCTCAAGGTGAAAAGTTCTTATGTTGAATCTGCATTTCCCATAGGAATGCATTGAAAACCATTTAATCCGTATCTGCTCTTTTCCGTCCATAGAAACTACAGTGGAACCTCTACTTAAGAACTTAATCCGTTTTGGAATGGTGTTCTTAAGTTGAAACGTTCTTAAGTTGAAGCAAAATTTCCCATAGGAATGGACTGAAAACCAATTAATCCGTTCTGGCTGTTTTTTTGTTATGTAGAGGTGCGTTCGTACATTGAAGCATTAGTTCCCATAGGAACTAATGCAAAGCTGGTTAATACGTACTCTACCACTAGGGGGAGAATTTTTTTTAACCTAAGATGACCTAAGGTTAAAAAAAGAGCAGGAAAGGTTTTTTTCCTGTTCTTATCTTGGATTTCTGTTCTCAAGTAGAAGCAAAAATTAGCAAATGGAGCTGTTCTTAAGTTGGATTGTTCTTAAGTAGAGACTTAAGTAGAGACCCCACTGTAACTGGTTCGAGGTTCACTCACCCTTCCAAGAGGTTGGTAATTTGAGTACCCAGCTCACCGGGGAGGGGGGGATGTGTAGCCTGCATAATTAAATTGTAAATTGCCAAGAGAGTGCTGTAAGTACTATGGGGCAGTATAAAAGCAGCACACGTTATTAGAGAAGCAAAGCTCAATTTTGCTGCATCATTGAGAAGGTTCTTAAGTAGAGACCCCACTGTAACTGGTTCGAGGTTCACTCACCCTTCCAAGAGGTTGGTAATTTGAGTACCCAGCTCACCGGGGAGGGGGGGATGTGTAGCCTGCATAATTAAATTGTAAATTGCCAAGAGAGTGCTTTAAGTACTATGGGACAGTATAAAAGCAGCACACATTATTAGAGAAGCAATAGACATTTTTTCCCTCTTTCAGTTTGGAAAGAAAATGAAGACGATGGATAGCCTTGAAGTCTTGCTGCCTGGAATATTTTTTTCTTTTGACAAAACAGAGCATAGCATTGCTTGGTAGCAGATGTGATGAGCCATGACAGGGGGGCAATACTCTCCAAGCCGCAAAAGAATCAAAGATAATTGTTGCATAACAAGATAACATTAAAGTTCCATACATACTTGATCCACTGTATTCCTAGGAATGAAACCATCATTAAGACAATAAACTTTAAACTACTCAGTGTAATTATTGGTTTAACTTGTTATAAAATGTCAACCTTTCAAGATTGTTTACAGCAGCTAACCCACCCTCCTTTAGACATCAATTCAACCAGTGAGAAAAGCTCCTGAGAGTCCTCTCTCAGCATGCTACAGCAGAATGAGGAGAACCAAGTTCTTGCCATTTCAGACAGACTGCAAAAATGAGATTTTTCGGCTAACATTGAGTACTGGGATAGGCTGTAATAAGGCTTGTGGGGAAGAAAGCCAAGAGGAAAGAATTCAGCTACGGAAGCTGGGTTCCCATAAAGATATTTTTGCCTGTAATCTCATCATCCCCAGCCAACATGGTCCATCACGAGGAATGATGAGAGTTGTACTGTAGGTAATTTGTGGAGAATCCAAGAGAAGAGGAGGCAGAAATACTGTACAGTACATGAATCTTTCCACAGCACAAGGAAATGCTAGGAATGTGCACTGATCCCTGCTATGGTCTATGCTTGAATAAGGGGACAGTTTGGTGCCCAACTCATCCTGTGCCCTTTTGGCAACACTCCGACCTGATCCTTGGCCCTGGTCTCTGCTGCTTTTGTATGCTTCCAGGTTTCAGGGAGAACCCAATTCCCATGAAAAAAAATGCTAACAGCTATGACTTGGGTTACATTTCTGGCGGAACGGTTTGCCCACTTCTTGCTCAGAGAACAAAACAAGAAGAGAAGCGGGAGCCAACTATTGTGAAGTCTGGCAGTGACATCATTGCACCAACAAGAAAGGAGAAACAAAATGCAGGGGAGGCAGTCTCTAGAGTTCAAAAGTGAACCACTCGAAACCCATAGAAGAATGTAGGCATTCATCTGCACACGCACACACACACTCTCAGTCCTATCATAGTAAGTTTTTTCAAGTGTTTTTGAAAATTTAGAGAAAACAAAGACCAGGCAATATAGAACACTAACAAAAGCCCCTCAAGTCTGCGCTGCAGGTAGAATAAAATGGTTAGCTGCATCTTGGGATTCACTGGGGGCATGAAACTCCCACCCTCCTTATGTGGTGCTGGCTCAGCATCTTCCTTAAGAGGATTGGACCTTTTGATTCCCTTTCTTCCATGTTTATCACATGGCATTCATGCATGTCACATTTAACAGGAGGATTATGTATGCCATGCCTCTCTGTACAACGTTTGCCTTCGAAACACAGAAATAGCCCCTTTCTTCCATGTTTATCACATGGCATTAATGCATGTCACATTTAACAGGAGGTTTATGTATGCCATGCCTCTCTGTACGTTTGCCTTCGAAACACAGAAATAGATCTGATTTGGTCAGTACATACACATTTGTGAGAAGATGGTGCACATCACTCTCCCGGGAAGTGAGAGGACATTCCATAAGTGTAGCAAACCATAAGCACAAGACAACACCACACTATAAAGAACTGGAAGTATTGTTTTACCCAATCAACTTTATTTCCATTATCCAGATTCCATGATTCAGAAAGCATCTTTGAACTCTGCTCTGTGTATCCCCTTAAAGACAACATGTGCCCAGAAACACAACCAGCATCTCATTAATGAGTAGCAATTAGCCACCAAGATTGATACAAGTGTAAATTGGCAGTAGGATCCTGGCCAATGTTGAATAACACTACTCCACTTTGCCTGAATTTATTATTATTATTATTATTATTTTGCAGTTCCACAAGGCTGAAGAATCTAATTGCAATATAGCACAAGTTTAGTAATGTTAGGCAAACGCTGATGAATTTGCTTTTTCCAATGAGTTTTCTCTTTAAAGTAGATGCTTTTAATTTATTATTTTTTGCAATTAGGATTTTAAAGTTCCTTTGTGTTGGTGCAGAAGTCACCTGTAATTTAATACTTATGGAGATCTCCAGCTCCAGGCTGATTTTCTTTCCAGTTATGGAACCAAACTAAAGAGACAGCAGTCCTGAACAAACTACTTCTAGTTTCTTGACCTGGGAGGAAATGACATCCCAAAACTGGAATCTAATGGTTACCTGTAGGCTGTGTTTAGAAGCAGTCCCCCCATGGCCAGATTCCTTCCCCTCTATCACTTCTGGAGCCAAAAAAGCAGAAACACATCCATGAAGGAGAAGATTAGATCAACAATATATTGCTATTTCTTTGCTTTTCCACCAGCTCACCAAAATTGAACAGACAGAACTTCCTTTCTCACATGTACAGTTAATGGGAAAGCCAGGCTTTCACTAACATCCTTAAACTGATAGAATGCAAGTGAAGACTTCTTTGTTGCCAAAGTCTCTGCATGCCTCAGGTTTTGGACTGTATTCTTGCAATTTTAAATGTCTGATATAAATTGGGAAATGGAAAGCATCTTTAGTGAAAAGATGAATAGAATTTTTAAAGCAAATAAAACAATCAGGGATATTTTTCCTGGGCTTGCGGAAACTCAGGCATTTCAGGGAAGTGTTTCCAGAATGAATCTGATCTGTGTCATGATTCATACATTTTGGGTTCTCAGGGCACTCCCGTTACTAACATTTAAGGTGGCCATGTGTGAATCAAGGGATTTTGGAGGGAATCTCAAGGATCAAACTTCAAATTATAGGGCCAAAATTCAATTCTATGAATTCAGATAACTAGCTTTTATCTCACTGCAAGTGTTATTTAACATACAGGTGACACATCTCTGTTATAAACATTGCTTTCTGAACCACCACTGTGATTATTTTACATACATTTTACATACATGTTAAGCTTTAACATACTTATTACAGTATGTAGAAGGGGTAGCCATGTTAATCTGTGTAAGCATTATAGGTGAAAACAAAATAAAGATAACAAGTAAAAAAAAGAAAAAAAGTGTGGTGGCACCTTAAAGACTAATATTTACATTTCTGATGTGAGCCTTTGTAGACAATAAGAAATAAGAGAAGGAGAAATAACATGGCAGTTTCTTTTTTCTAGGTTGGCCAAGGATTTTGGGGGCACTACCACATATGAAAACTACAAATATTTTACTGTAATCTCCCAGATATTCTACCCTTCAACAGATCCACCTTAGAAATTGACATCTATACCTTGATACCATGTATAAATATTTGCCATTTTATTTCTCCCTCTTTTATGTCTGATGAAGTGGACTTGTCCACAAAAGTTCACATCAAAGCGTATATAAGTTAGTTTTTAAGGTGTCTTTTTTTTACTTTCTATTATATTTTCACCTATAATCATTACAGTATGTATTTCTTGCATTTCATTTCCCTCTGACATCATGATTTATAAATTAGTCTTGTACACCAATGGATAGAAAGACCTACTGATTTAGGAGACACTGTGAATCTGATGAAATGGATTTGAATCTACAGAAGCTTTGCCTGACAATTAAGAAGAGAGATTTTAAGATGCCACCAGACTATTATGATCCATATATTTTATCTCTATGAAATGGCATTTCTTCTATAAGAAGAACTGATGAAAACAAACCACAATCCAACTATTCTGTAACTTCAGTTAGGCAGAAATCACCAAACGATTTATCCCAGCTGCAACGTTTGCAAATCTGCAACAAAAAGTGAATTCTAAATTCTGAAAAACTAACATAATAGAAGATAAACGGGAACATGTCTTCGGACAAGAGAAACAGGAAATACTGCAGAACTGTTTGCTGGAATAATTTCAAAAGCACATTGACACACACACAAATCTGTAATCAGAAAGGCTGGACAAGGCATGTCAGCTTTTATTAGTTGGAAACAAAGTCAAACCCCAGATCAGACTGAGACCAGCATATTTTATGGCAGGTGTTCTTTCCCCTTTACCCTGGGCAATGCTATATCACAAGAAATGACCCCTTTACAAATATGTCCACACTTTTTCTGGGGAGGGGGGGAGTACTAGCTGTAAAATGAGTTAAAATATGTCCTTCTCCACAAAGTAAAAAAAGAGAGAACATTCCACATATGTAATGCAACGGACCAACTTATCAGGACAAATTTGTGGAATTCTCACAGGCAAGACACATTTAAAGCACTTAGAGCCTTGAGGTAGCTAGCATATTTATGCAACATTAAAATTACCCTTGTGACTGAGGAAGGCATTCATAGCACTTGATTTATGCTTCAGCTAGGCTCATCAAATCTATGTCATGCTCCTTAGAGATAAGGGACCACTTCCTTTTCCCTGGTGATCAAGGTCCAGCATGGCTCTATAGCCTGTACAGAGAGAAACCACACCAAAGTCTCTTCAACTGAAATATATGATTGGAGCCAGTGAAACACACCTTACCAGCAGAAGTCACAAAAAGAAGGTAAGTGGAGTGGTGGTTTGGGGAAACCAAAACAAGTTATATTTTTGGCAAACCTAGTTTACAGTTACATGTCAAGAACTAAAAAGGACGGAGGAAAAACAAATGAGCTACCCTTTTTCCCTCTGTAAAACTGTACCTTCCAGCTGATGTTTTTTCATAGAATTTAGTTTAATAGGTTTCGTGAAAAATTGTGCTATCCATTAACAACAATATCGTAATAACCAGGATACTTAGTTGCTCTTTCCAGGAATCTCAAAAATGGCATACTGTATTATTTTGAAAAGACAATCTCAGAAACACCACTCCTGATGACCACTTTGCTGCTGAGTTCTCCTATTAAAAGTAGATTTTTTCCATTGATCATTTATAAGATAGCAGATTCCCCCCCCCAAAAAAACAAACACCATGCCAGCAAAAGTAGAAAGAAAATTCTTAAGAGGTGTTCAAATAAATCATAAATTAATGAATCCAAAGACTGTGCTCAACTAGTCTTAGTCAACATTGCTAGGAGTCAAGGTATCTGCATGGCTGCACCACACAGCTTCCATTCTATACACTACATAGCAAATAATTTAGTAATGCAATATTCCAATTATTTTCACTCTGATAATGCTCAAATTGCTTTTTTTTAAAGCAACATTGACTTCATTTGTGCAAAGGAGTAATCCAGATGACCACAAACTGGACTGCTGTTTAAATCTAACTGGAAAAATCTAACTGTCCTGATTCAATGTGTAAATAGAATTTTCATAGTCTGTCACATGAATGCCAGTGAATTGTGCCCATGATAAAGTAATTCATAAAACTAGTTCATAATTCAGAAACACAGGATCATATAAAGACTTTGTACAGACTGACATTTATGGCCAGTTTGGGGTTGTCAAATTCAGCCCTTCAAATGCCTGCTTGAAAGGGGGGAGAAAAATAGAATATTTAGAACTTGTTCAACAGACAATGTAAAAATCAATGGCAACTAATACTGCTCTACCCATTTCACATCTCCACTTCCAGTTCTGCACATGGTTTCAAACACATCATAGATAAGGGTCTTTCAATGGAGTATTGTTTCCAAGACCCAAACTAAATGTCAACAAGTGCAGATATGGAATATGGTTTAACTTGTAAGCACTATTATAGCAGTATTAAATTCAACTGGATTGAATGGACAGGCACAAATGCTCCAGAGACCCAAGTGCTCTGCAAGTGATACATATATGAAGTGAACATCTCTACTGGCTGGAAAGTATGATCTAGAGTTGATTTGTTTGGTGCAACTGGAATCTGACCAAGTCTTTTAAAAACCCTCAAGAATGGCTTTAATGCACAGCTGTATAATTAATAAAGGCTGCACAGATAGGTTTTCCCATCAACTTCCATCTTTCTGTCTAGAACCTAGAAGAAGTTTACACAAATTGATATTTGTACCATTAAGAACAATATCTTTGGTGCAAAACATTTAGATTAACATTTAAGTGTTAGTTTCTTCTGGACTTTCAGGGCAGCAGCACACCTGTTTCCTATTAGCTGAAGTTGAGATGCTGGGGAAAACAGAGGATAAAACCACTAGAATCTGAATGCCTTTTCTGTGACTTTCATAACAAAAAAAACAAACTAAGTCCTTTTGCCCAGCACAATATCATCCCATGATTCAAGACTGTATTAAAACAAATAATGTAGAAATTTGTAAGAAAATGGCTAATGGCTAGAAACTAACTTGTGAACTGGATTTCTGGCACTGCCAAGAAGGATGAATTCAGAAAGGGTAGACACATTTAAAGTTTACCTGGCAGAACCACAATGAGTAAATGTTTGCTTACTCCACCAGATGACAATCCACTATTAGTGAAAAACTATCTCCAATCTAGACATGCTTATAACATGCTTAGAAATACTGATAATGAAACAGACAACTGATATTACTACTTATGCATTCAGTACCTTTTCCTTTAAGAAATTTCTTTCTAATGCTATGAAAAAATGAATTATCACAGTTTAATTCTTGCAGAGATAATACTTTGATAATATAATTTTGGATAAAAATTCAGTCCAGATGTCATTTGGCTAAATACTCCTCTAAGAAGCTATCCTTTTAAAAAGCCACTGACTTAGGCATTTTGGGGGAATATAATTAACTGAATCTATGCTCCAAAGTGATCCCTCCAAGCCACATTTCAACTGCCAAGAATGTAAATGAGATTTTTCTTTTTGCATTTTTTAAAAAATCATTCATTTTGAAGTAAAATGCTAATTATTTTCGAAAAGGATTTAGCAAAAAGATTTGGCAATTGGAAAATTAGTTATACCTAATTAGCTATATAGGCTGTTGTAAAATACTGTACTGCAGTTGAAGGGAGCCCCCTTTAGTACACAAATATTCTTTCAGTTACCAAAAAAACACTCCTTAATTTTTTTTTTAAAAAAGCATTAAAACTGGTTCTGCCAAGGGCAATGTCATGCGAAATCTAGGAGTATAAAGAATTCCCATTAACAGGAATTTGGGTTATGCTCTCCTATTTCCTATCAGACTATAAATTAGTCCAATTTAAGAAACAGAAAAAGGACAATATGGCTGCAATACTTGTGGCCACTGAATCTCATGGCCTATTCAAAACCACTGTAGTCTTAGAAATATAAAAAAATCCATTCTGCTTGCAGTTACATGTACTGATAACTGGGTATTTTGCTTCAATACTCTATTCATTATCAACCAAAGCCTTAACTTTTAGAGTTGCAGTAATTGCCACATCCAGCAGATGGCAGGGAAAATCTAGAACTAGCAAATTCACTAGCTTCAATGCCTTGCCACCCCCTTTGACATCATTGACTTCTTCAAGCCCAGGTAAATCATCATCATCATTATTATCAAAAGCGATTTTGATCCTCTGTCATGGAAAAAAAATGTCAAAACAAAGATACTGTTAAGGAGGTGGCTGTCCCTGAGTGAAGGAAAAGCCACCTCCTATCTCAAATCACTGATTACAAAGTTCACCCTTTCTTTTTAAAACAAGAACAACACATCATTGAGGGCTCCACATCTTTCATATCAGGCACTTGAATTGTTGGAGAGACATGCCATTCTGAACCAAGAAATGTGAAAGGAGGTTTAAGAGACTCAGCCGTAAGCTAGGTCTAATAATGACATTTCAGCAGCAAAGCAGAGGCCTGGAGCAAGCCTTGACCCATCCAGCTGTGCTGAGACATGTAGGTTTCTAAAAAAATGCCCAAGAAGACACCAACAGCCACTGTCCCGTAGTGTCCTTTTTTCATTTGTGTGGTGCTGCGTTGCTGCTATTAGGAGACTTTTCTGTGTCTTGAACCAAGAAGGCACTAAGGTACTCAGTGCCTAATTGCCTGGATTTGTCAGGTCCATGCTTGAACCAAACAGTGCCACCAGCTGCTCCTCATAATGTGTTATATTCCTCTTCATAATGTCCATGCAGGGGCCAAGCAATCGCTCAAATGCTTGCACATCCATAACTGCACAGAAACACAAGGACACGAAACAAAGGTATCAATATTGAATTCAAAGAGAATATAAAAACTACAATCATCTGGTGAACAAACAAGTGTACAGGGAAGCTGATCGTTATCCTTGAATTTTTAAAGAAGCGATGCTGTAGAAATGGACACAGGGCTTATAGTTTAGGATGCTGAACCAGCAGCGCTGAGAATTTCTGGCTTGAGTACAGGGAAAGCAACCTGAAGTTTTGCACGGCGTTGGATTCTATCTCCTCTTATTGCTGACCGCTGGGCACAATAACTGAGGCTTATGAAAACTGGAGTCCAACAACATCTAGTGGGCCACAGGTTGTCCAATGTTAGTTTACATGTATGTTATTTTTTAATTTACTCCCACAGAAATGTTTGTGTTGGAGTTGCATCAGAAAACTGTTGTTAACAGACTTGTCTAGCACCAATAGTTTCCCCTCCATTCATTCTAATCCTGTGGTTTTCAAACTGTGCTCTGAAAAACCTGAAGTTGCCTGAAAGCTTACTAGTTTTATGACCATGTACATACACATTCTTTGAGCAAATACAAGAAGAGATTGATTTATCACTTGCATCAGCACACATGACTTAGGTACTGGTGTACTACAGTTGGTTTTGCCAGCTTTGTTGAGACAAAAATCTAACACCTGACAAACATTTTATATGAATTCAGATTTCCAAGGAAACACTAAAAATGCTCTTTGCTGCAGACAGACCTTCAACACCTTAAAATCTCAGAATATGACTAATTTTCAAAGAGAGTTCACTTTTTAAAAAATAACTAAGCTTCAGAAATTGTTTCTTAAGGATCATTTTACTGGGGTAATCCTGCCAGTCAACACAAGCAGGGAATTCCAAGGTCAGTGACAAAATCAACTGACTCTGTTCTGTCACTCACAACTCAGCACACCAATTTGTGGAGCACAGCACAGTCTCATCCAAAGCTCATCTTTACTGTGTGCACACTGCAGTATTCCAGATGCTGCTGCCAAATAATATCTGGAATGCTGCACTGTCTACCCAAATTCTCAAACAATAAAGAGGAATTTTGTGTAAGACTGTGCTCCCATCAACTCTGGCAAGCATGACCAATGGAGAAGCACTTGGAGTTGCAATCTAATAACATCTGGAAGTCTCCTTATATCCAATCCTGGTGTACATATATGTGGTCAGTGATCTAAGATTAGAGGTGAATTAGGAAAAGAAAGAACTAGTTTTGCCAGGCACTGCTCATTCAACCTCCAAGTTGCTCCCTAGAATTCCTAAAGAAACCAAGATTCAGGTCAACTGTTATACCAGGATATCTAATATACAAAGAGATCTCCAAATGGTTACAGAAATGAATGGGGGAATGCCTTTGGAAATGCATCTTCTATAAAACCCTCTTCTCAATATTATTCTTCTAATCTGATGAGGTCAACAATAGTTATAGAATGTGCAATAGAAAAATAAAGACATTGGAGGCTTTGAATATCTATCAACTATAATCCTTTGCTTTTCAAATTCTGGTCTTTTGAACATAGTAAAATGGTAGCTGTGTTATCAAGGTTTTCTTTAGAGGCAAGAGCCAGAAGCACTGTTTCTTTAATAATGCAACCCCAACTTCCTATTGGCCACTTTAAAGCTTCAGAGGGCACTCTGCTCATCACTTGCACAAGAGTTTCCTGGAGTGGGACAGGACTTAACTACTAAACAACAACTGCTCTATAGAATGACAAGAGCCCAAATCCCAAAGGCAGAAGAACAAATTTACAATTCAAGGTAGAGGAAATGCTCCTTTCACAGGTGGAGCTGAACCGCCTATGGAACAGTATGAAATTAATGAGCCAATTAAATCCAGCTTTAATGGTACATATTCAGGGGGAGCACAAACAAAAACAGAAGTTGTCCTTACCTAAACATTTGACTTCACCAACTGCATAGGCAGAGGCTGCTCTGGGCTTGTTGGTAACAAGTGCAAGTTCTCCAAAATACTGTCCTTTTTGACACCGAGCAATCTCCACCTCCTGATTTGCATCCTTGCCTGTGATAGTCTGCATAATAAGCATACACTTGGTAAGAATTCTTGTTTACAAACATGTCTCTAGCAAAAGTATTCGTGTACAAACTTTTCAGTGCTCCCAAGATAATTCACCAATCCTCTGTTCTCAATTCCATAGTTACCAGAAATATGATTGAGGATTATACAGGGAGTTTTCTGGCAAACCCACCTGTGAAACATTGTGCTTAAGGAAAACTGCCTAGGGTTAGTGCACCTAGGGTTAGTCCACCACACTGGCCGGAATAAACTTTTAACTACAATTAGGCTTAAGGTAAGCTGTCAATTGTCAACTAGCATTAACTAGCCTTATTGTAGTGTTACATCTGCACTGGTATTAACCATGGTTAATACTAGTGCAGATGTAACACTACAATATGGCATAGAAACAGGACAATTGTGATGTATATGTCAGAGTATTTACTGTGCCAGGATTAAACTGCTTTAAGCCATTTTTATGTATTACCTTGTGGTAATACAGCCTACTATTACCTCAAGCATCCTAAAAAGCTAGTACCTCTTCAGACTTGTAACAGATCAGCTCCACGTAATAGTTATGGAGAAGAGTATAGTAAATGGGCTGGTGGGACATATCCAGAAAGGTCCATGGAAATTATTTTGTACATTTTAAGCTTCTTTGGCTCATAAAAGTGCAGAGGAAATGCCTAATGTTGTAGTGTGTTGTGCTACCAGTGCATATTCAAAATGAAACAATATTATTAGGAATGGGTGAGTACACTGTAATACTAGTGTTATTTTTTTTCCCATGACATTTTGAGTCAAGAAGAAATGGGTAGAGTGCTGATAACTGCAATAAGGACATAAGAGACTGCTTCAATTTCTTTGAGAGCTGATTTCATTGCCTTCTGGTGGAACTTCTAGTGAAACAAGATTGCAGATCCTGCCTCAGCCGTGATCTGCTGTGCATGCAAAAGAGTAGAAAGAACTGTTCTAAAGGAAGCAGAACCCCTTCTACAAACCAGGTTTTGGTGGCTTCTGCACAGTTGGCACCCTGGAGATGGGGGCCCTTTGCTAATGGCTCCAAGTCTTGGGAGTCTTTTTGTTGTTGTTTTGCTTTTTTTGCAAAGCTAACAGGACTTGGCTCAAGACATTTGCAGCCAATAAACCCATAAACCTTCCCTGGGAATTTGCTAGGTTATCCAGCTGTGCTTGGGAATGACTGAGGTTGCCTCTCTATACAATGCTCTGCTAGACTGAATTATTTACCTTTAACCCATCCTTCATTAACCTTTTGTTAACTGATCTGCTTCTATCCAGATGCAAAAACAGGTTAACTTCTGTGGGTAAGCAGCAAGACATGGATTAAGTTCCTTTCTGCTTCAGATAACTGTGAGATAGCATAGGAATTATTAATTCCAGAAAAGGCTTGCTGCTTGTTATTTTAACAGCCCATTCTTCCAGACAGTTTCACATTCCATAAATTCAAATTATCACTGCAACAGACATTTTTGAACTCACCTTGCTTTTAATCAAGATTTTTACTTCACCAGACTCTACAATGTAAAAACTGTCTGCCTTATCACCCTGTGAAAAAGAAAATAGCAGCTTTCAGATTTTTTTTAAAGGATCTCAAATACTCATTTTAAACCAAGAATTGTGGGATCTCTGAATAAGCTACTTAAAAAAGGCAAACAAGAACCACAAGAGGGAAAGAACAGGGCTATGCAGAACAACAAACAAGTACAAGACATTAGAAGAGCCATGAGGCAATATTGGAATAATCTGGCTGGAAGGGGAAAAAAAGAACACACCCACCAAGGGCCAGAGTAGCCTTTCCTAGAACACTCTAGGGGCTTTTACTCACTTTACCTTCCTACACTCTAGTTTCAATAAGAGTGTCTGCCTTATCACCCTGTGAAAAAGAAAATAGCAGCTTTCAGATTTTTTTTAAAGGATCTCAAATACTCATTTTAAACCAAGAATTGTGGGATCTCTGAATAAGCTACTTAAAAAAGGCAAACAAGAACCACAAGAGGGAAAGAACAGGGCTATGCAGAACAACAAACAAGTACAAGACATTAGAAGAGCCATGAGGCAATATTGGAATAATCTGGCTGGAAGGGGAAAAAAAGAACACACCCACCAAGGGCCAGAGTAGCCTTTCCTAGAACACTCTAGGGGCTTTTACTCACTTTACCTTCCTACACTCTAGTTTCAATAAGAGTGCCAAAAACTAAGCCTCTTAATAAATGTGCTAATAGAATTTCTCAATATCATCTTTAAAACACTGCGATCCAAGGATTGCTGTTGGTTCAGATTATTTGAAGGGATATATTCCAATTTTAATGTAAGATCTAAGAACCTTGGTAAGCTGGATATGACATCCTGGGCGTCAGTGAACTAAAATGGGACAAGAATGGACGAATTCAATTCAGACGATTATCATATCTACTACTGTGGGCAAGAATCCCACAGATAGTCAAAAAAGAATACCATAATCAGATTGACTATGAAAAGCCTTTGACTGTGTAGACCACAACAAACTATGGCAAGTTCTTAAAGAAATGGGAGTGCCTGACCACCTTATCTGTCTCCTGAGAAATCTATATGTGGGACAGGAAACAACAGTTAGAACTGCATAATGAACAAATGATTGGTTAAAAATTGGGAAAGGAGTACGACAAGGCTGTATATTGTCCCCCTGCTTATTTAACTTACATGCAGAATGCATCATGTGAAAGGCTCAACTGGAGGAATCCCAAACAGGAATTAAGACTGCTGGAATATTAACATCTAAAGGAAATCAAGCCTGAGTGCTCACTGGAAGGACAGATTCTGAAGCTAAGGCTCCAATACTCTGGCCATCTCATGAGAAGACTCCCTGGAAAAGCCCCTGATTTGGGGAAAGTGTGAAGGCAAGAGGAGAAGGGTACGACAGAGGACGAGAAGGCTGGGCAGTATCATCAAAGCTACCAACATGAATTTGACCAAACTCCGGGAGGCAATGGAAAACAGGAGGGCCTGGCGTGCTCTGGACCATGGGGTCACGAAGAGTGGGACATGACTTAACGACTAAACAACAATTCCACTTTTTAGTTGAGTGCTTCCTTTAAGGTTGATTAGCAACTCCTGCATGTTTTAATTTTGGCATCTATGCAAATTGACCTTTACAGACCTGAGTAATCTATATGATGAAAGAGTGACAATAGTTGCACTTAGTCTTCAGATCTAACCAGGTGATACAATTAGTGCATGACTAGAAATAGATCTGTGTTAAGAGACAGAAGACATTTGTTTATATTAGTATGAGCTCTCCTCATGTTGTAAATTAGGTTCCTTTTTTTAGTTTGGGGTTTTTATTTGTTTTTTATTTTTTTGTGCGCTTTTATTACTGATCATCAGGAGGTAAAGACAAGCTTCACTGTCAAGTCTGACTGCTCAGGCATTTCCCTTAACATATACAGTGGTGCCTCGCACAACGAGCGCACCGTAGAGCGATGAATTAGCTCTACGGTGACGCTCTTGCGATCGCTAAAGCGGTCGCACAACGATGGCCCCTATGGGCAAAAATCGCAGAGCGAAGGTCGGTAAGCTGCTCGCTTACCGACCTTCGCTTTGCGACCCGCCGATCAGCTGTTCGGCAGGTAAAAAATGGCCGCCGGAACAGCCAAAAGGGGCCGGGGCGCAGCGTTTTCGCGCCCTTGGTAAGCAAGGGGAGCGCGCGAAAACGCTGCGGAAGCCCCGAAATGGCTGCGCGCAACCATTTCGGGGCTTCCAGCAGCGTTTTTGCGTGCTCCCCTTGCTTACCAAGGGCGCGAAAACGCTGCGCCCCGGCCCCTTTCGGCTGTTCCGGCGGCCATTTTGGACCCGCCGGACAGCTGATGGCAGCCATTTTGCCGCCCTCGTTGTGCGAGGGGACTGATGGCAGCCATTTTGGCGCCCTCGTTCTGCGAGGGGAGGGCGCGAAAATGGCTGCCGCCTATGGAGGAACTTCGCTGAACGGTGAGTTTGAAAGCCATAGGAACGCATTGAACAAAGTTCAATGCGTTTCTATGGCTTTTTCCCTCCCGCACAGCGATGTTTCCCACAGCGAAGGTTAATCCGGAACGGATTAACCTCGCTGTGCGGGGCACCACTGTAATTTGATTCTTCACTACCCTGAAGAAACAAAAAATATGTCCGAAATTCAATATGCATGCCTGCTTCTGTCCCTGAAATGCCATGTTCCACATGTTCACTCTGCTCCTTTTTCCACACTTCAGATCAGGGCCTATTCTTTTGTTGGATGACACACTGACATACACAACAAGAGCAGTGCCTTCATGGTGGCTGTAACAGATTACAGAATGTCCCAAGAAAATCTGAAGCAGCTTTTCCCAAGTAGTCCAAAAGGTATACAATTCTTACAGCTATTGAGGAAAAACTTTTGTATTTGAAGCATCATCATTTATTTATGTATTTAAAATATTTATATAACAGCTTTTGCCTAAAGGAGACGTCGTTGAAGATGTCATTGTTTTATTGTTGTTTTGACTGTTTTTGATATTGTATTTTAAGCCTGATAATTTTGTAAAACCACCTTGACTGCTGGAGAGGTAAGAAAATCAATGATTAATGAAACAGACGGAATGTCCAAACTGATTTCTCAAGGAGTGGGTTCCAGCGCTTGAGTGCAGCAACTAAATCCTGCCCTATCTATGCAGCACCACTATGAAACTGGAGAAGGGATGCAGTAAGAATCAAGTTGTTGTTGGTAGGGAAAAAGAATTTTACAGTGATTCAGATAAATCACGTAGATCCATACCGTTTTGAACTGATTACTACTGACATCAGGAAAGGAGAAGGGCAATTCTCTTTAGCTGCTTTCTGGAAATATTCAAAGTACTGTCAAGCCACCTGTCTGAGGGCAGCAGCATGTGATAGAGCTGCCTTGTCTACCTGACCTAGTCACTTACCTACTTTACAAAACATGGTTTTGTATGTGGAGCTACTTTCATAATGGGGCTGCTCTCTGTTCCACTAGTGAAGCCAGGTTAGGTCAGAACGTGCGTAAACTAAAAATAAAGAGTGCAGGAATTTGTTCTCATGTGGTCTATGTGTGAAAGCCTGCCCCTGTTTAGCTTGGAAAAACTTTATTGAAAGCACGCTTATGAAATGCTTTCTTTATCTAAATGACAAAAAGATGAGGTATCTGTCATATAAAATTCCCTAATAAATCAAATATTGGACAAAGAACACACGTGTATTATGTGTGTCAGCTACAGAACCGCATTGTCAACAACAGACAATCCATTATTATAGGAACACACTGCAGTGCCTTGAAACCCACATTAGACAATTAATTCTTTCAGAATCTAAAAAGTCTGGGTGTACTCTATTCTAAACTAAATCTCTAGATCACAATCTTCCTACTGTTTCCAAAAATGAAGGCACTTCCAGGGTATACTGTATTAATAAAATTCACTTTTCACCTGTCTACTCTCACCTGAAAATGAACACTACATTTATGTCACAGAACAGAATAAAATGGCATTAATTTGTATAACTACTATCCACATAGAAGGCGAATTGTATTAACTTACCTGACAAATGATACGGTCCCCATCTTGAAATGTCTTTTCCCCTATTACATCAACAATTTTCATTCGTTCTGATGGCTGTAACCAAAAAAGAAAGTGAATTCGACCTGCTCTGACCTTCCATAATAAATAAGAGACACAAGAATTCGTACAGTCAACCCTCAACTTATGGAATTAATCTGTAATTATTGGAACGGTGGCCGCAGGTCGAAAAGTCCGGCCGAGGGTCCATTTCCCGTAGGAATGCATTGAAAATCATTTAATCCATTCCAGGCAAAGAAAAAAAATCCCGGGCTTCCAAAGCTGCACCCGCTGCCCTCTGCCTTCTGTCCCTATGGGAGACAGAAGACAGTGGGTGCAGCTTTGGAAGCTCGGGAAGCCAAAAGCTGCTCTGCGCCTGTTGCCGGCTTTCTGAGCCGCTCCTCCCCCGCTGCTGGCTTTCGGCTTTCCAAGCTTCACAACTCCCTTCGCTGTGCCTGTCTCCCGTCCCTGGTGCCCTCTCCCTTCTGTCCCTGTGGGGACAGAAAGCAGAGGGCACCAGAGATAGGAGACAGGGACAGCAAAGGGGTTTATGAAGCTCGGAAAGCCGAAAGCTGCTCTGCACCCACTGCCAGCGTTCTGAGCCGTTCCACCCCCGCTTTCAGCTTTCCAAGCTTCAAAAACTCCTTTGTTGTCCTTGTCTCCCATGCCCAGAGCCCTCTGCCTTCTGTCCCCACAGGGACAGAAGGGAGAGGGCACCTCAGAAGGCCGAAAGGCAGCAGCGGGGGAGGAGGCACTCAGAAAGCCGGCAACGGGCATGGAGCAGCTTTCGGCTTTCCGAGCTTCGCACCCCCCTCCGCTGCCCTCTGTCTCCCGTCCCTGGTGCCCTCTGTCTTCTGTCCCTGTGGGGACAGAAGGCAGAGGGCAGTGGGGACTGTAGGCAGAGGGCAGCGGGGGCGGCTTTGAATTTCCTGCCCTTTTCCCCTGCCTTTTGTAGGTTGAAGCTCTGGCCACAAGTCGAACTTAAATTTTGCGGCCGGAGCTTTTCGTACCTCGAAATTTTTGTAAGTATGGACCTTCATAAGTCGCGGGTCCACTGTATATATATGTGCAAGACTTATTCTATATTATACTTCTGCATACTGGTCTGTCTGTCTATTCCAAAAGCTCATAATTACATTCTATATGGCTTTTCAGTATGTTACTGAGAGATGTTTGTCCAGCCCACACTAATCCCTTCCACATAATTGCTTGATCCAACCCCATTCCTACCTCACTCAAATCTTCCAGCTGAAAAGAAATGACAGAAGAAGCAGTTCTCCATTTCTTCCCAAACTGAGTCCAGGAACTGATTCCTTTGCCACTTCCATTAGTCCTGGTAGTCAAGGAGGGGCAGCAACAGTAATCATAGAAGTACCATGACAGGGTACATGTGCCATTCTTGGTCTTTATTTTATTGACCTAGCAACGAGGCCACTAATTAAATCTTACCACCTTTTAAATATTCAATGCTTAATGGGTAATTGTTAATTACGTATTGTTAAATTATTGATGTTTATATATTGATTTTATTTTATTCTTGTATTATTATCACTGTTTGATTATGTTGTGAATCACCCAGAGTGGACCTAAGCTAGATGAGCAGTATACAAATTAAACAAACAAATCAGAAGAGTTATGGTGAAATCACTCCTGAGCATTTGTTAGTCAACTCAGTACTGTCATATATTCAGCCTAAATTAGCAACTTTTAGACTTCACATGTGTCTTGATATTTTTCCACCAGTGGTCCATTAAAGTCAGAAGTAGAGTGTCATTTAGCAAGCCTCCACAGCACACTTTGGTCCTTGAATACTCAGTCTAGGGAAGAGTAACTGTACAAGCAGCAAGGCTTATTTTAAAATATTAATGCCAAACCATTAGTTATAAAACAGAAGCTAGTGTGGGTTCTTCTCTACATGGAAAGGCTTGAACTTCCTATTTTTTCAAAATGCTGAATAAGCTGATTTTAAAATTCTTTATGGATCACCTCCTTAAAAGGACCTTACCTCCAGTGACTTAAGCAGTGGAACTGACTCGATAAATAGTTCGTATGTTTTCCTTTTCTTTGCGTTATTTTTTACAATAATTCTTCTGAATGTCACTCGATCCTTTAAGAAACAGCACAATAACATTGGTTATTTCCCTTGGTTGTATCTGAGCTAGCAAAACTGGGACCATAGCAACACAAACAACAAATAAATCCATTTTAAGTTTGAAATTACATTTCAATTATTTGCATGATATGCACCCAGTAAAGAGAACTAAAGCATATTTCTGAAAATCTCAATAGTAGTATTAACTTTGGCAAGAAACTACATGAACTGAGGAGAAAGGCAAAAATGCTGCTCCTTAACCCTTTTGCCTCAAACACAGAGGACGCTATTAAGAAACTGCATGCTGAAATTGTACAAACATTTATTTGGACAGGCAATGCTCTTAATTGATTTATTCTGGGATGGGTTTTAGAAGCATGAGTCTGTTCCACTGATGAATACACAATCTGAGCAGTTATGAATCCATCACACTCCCAACAATTCTAAATCAGTTGTGTTATAGAGCTGACTACTGTATTATTTAGGACTTCATGTGTAACCTGTATGTTCACAGAAAATGGGGAGTGAATGGGGAGTGTTTTAAAAGAAAGAACTAATGCTTTCCACCAAAATTTTCAAGAAACCTTTGCTCACTGCAGATTAAACTTGGCTATTAACATTAGGATCAAGTAGGCAGCCTTAGGCAGCCTGGAAACTATACTAAGCCCAACAAATAAGAGCTTTCTATACCAAGTGGTTCTGATGGCTACAAGGCTGGGAAAATAACCAACAGGCAAATCAGTAGTAAATCCCACTTTCAATTTTATCTACACCTTAACAACGCTACATGACAATATATCCACTAGGTGGTAGCATTAGGTCAAGTAGACTTGAGAATCATGAAATACTGCACAAATTCCTGACTTGTTCAAAAGGCCACAAAAATTATGTTCTTCATCTGAATATAGATGAGATATTACTTCTTAACACATAAACTGGAAACACTGATCCCACTCCTATGTCATAAAACGAATATACCCTCACTCATAGTAGTCTCTACTAGTGCATATAGACGAACCACTGTGTTCCCAGCATAGCCATGCGCTAGAAACTTTTTTTCTTCATGACAGTTTGCCTTTCTTAAAATAAAGATCAGCGATTTTGCATGGAAAAACCCCCACTATCCTCCTCACCTGCTCTACCAATAGCCTCCCTCCCATTCTGACTATTTATTCAGTTTGTCACCGCCTTGTTCCTTAAGCACTTAGAGCTCCTATATCAACACCAAAAAGGAGTCAACAGAAACCAGGAATTAACTGTCCGTTGTAACATTTGTGTTAAGACATGCTTCACTTGTAACAGTAAACAAGAAAGAAACTGTGGCTCATCTACTTAACAGGAATGGAAAAATAATAACAGATGACAAAGAAAAGGCAGAAGCACTCAATTCCTACTTTTTAGGTCAGTCTTTTTCCAAGAGGCAGTCTATGACCCTCCAGACAAATGTGAAGTATAAAAGGAGGGGACAAAATTGCAGCTTGAGACTGATAAACAAATAAATAGTCAAGGAAAACCTTACTATTTTGAATGAGTTCAAAATGTCCAGGGCCCTGATGAACTGAATCTAAGAGAAAGAACTGGCTGAAAAAAATATCAGAACTACTGTACTGTATATTATTTCTTGAAATCATGGGGGGATGGATGAAGTGCCAAATGACTAAAGAAGGGTTAATGTTGTTCCTGTCTTCAAAAAGTATAAAAAAAGATGAACCTGAGAGCTACCGTGTTTCCCTGAAAATAAGACAGGGTTTTATATTAATTTTTGCTCAAAAAACACATTAGGGCTTATTTTCAGGGGATGTTTTATTTTTTTTCATGTACAATCTACATTTATTGAAACAATCATGTCATCTTCTTCTGATTGCTGGACAATGGTGGAAGGCAGGGTTTCACTTAACTGGAGCTTATTTCTGGAGTAAGTCTTATATTATGAGCATCCTGAAAAATCATACCAGGGCTTATTCTCAGGTTTGGTCTTATTTTCAAGAAAACAGGGTACAAACAAGGTACAGAATGACATAAATCCCAGGAAAAATTATGGATTATAAAGCAGAAACGTTGCAAACCCCTTGAGAACAATGCAGTAAAATAACTAGAAGTCAATATAGATTTGTCAAGAATAAATCACTCCAGACTAATCTTACCCACTTTTCGATCAAGTAACCTCCCTAGTAGGCAAGTGGAAATGCTATAGACATAACATACCTTGAGTTCAGCAAAGCTTTTGATAAAGTATCCCATGATATTCTGAGCAGGAAGCTAGCTAGGCATGGGCTGGATAGAACCACTATCAGGTGGATACACAGTTGGTTGCAGAACTGTACTCAGAGAGAGCTTATCAATGTCTCCTTCTCAAACTGGAAGGAAGTAACAAGAGGGGTACCACAAGGCTCAGTCCTGAGCTCAGTACTGTTAAACTTTCTTAATTAATGACTTGAATGAAGGATACAGGAAATGCCTATCAAATCTGCAATGCAGTGAAACAGAAAAGTGTTTAAAAAGGAGGAAAAACAAGAGCACTGTTCCAAGATCCAAAAAAATCAAAGGGAAATTTAAACCTAGATTAGGAATACTGAAAAATAAAGAAGGGAATATAATATCTGATCAGGATAAAATAAAGAGAAGATAGAAAACATATACTGAAGAACTACAGAGAATAGATAAGAAGGATGACTGATTTCTTTGAAGGGAATCCTATGATGAAGACCCTGCAATTTTAGAAAGGGAAGTGAAAATTGTTCCGAAAGCACTGGGAAGAAATATGTCATCAGGTGGAATACTGATATAATTATTCAAGATAAAGAAACTTAATCTGTCAAAATCCTAACAATAACATGCCAAGAAATACTGGAAACAAAACAATAGCCCAGAAAAAGGAAACATTCAATATACAGTTCAATCCCCAGAGAAGGAGAGGCCAGTGCTCTATAAATAACTATAGAGCACTGCACTAACATCGCATTCAAGCAAAGTGATGGAGAAAGTTTTGCAACAATGACTTGTACTCTATGGAGCAAGAAATGCTTGATGTTGTGGTAGGATTCTGAAAAAGAAGAGGCACTAGAATTAATATTATAAATATAGGCAATTAAAGGGCACCAAAGAATTCCAGAAGTCTGACTGTGCTGGTCTTTGACCATGTGCATCATGAGAAGCTATAGATTTTTATGAAAGAAATGGGTGTGCTTCACCACTTAGTTGTCTTAATTGTTATGGACAAGAAGCTACTGTTACGACAGAATATTGAGGAACTGAATGGTTTTTTATTCACAGGCGTGACAAACAAGGATATATTTTATCTATCTGTATGCAGGAGGGGTGTCCTCCTGTCAGAAACCAAGGACTGGGGGGGGGGTGGCCTCAGAAGACGTGTGTGCCTTTTGCCTGCAAAGCCCCTGGTGGTTTCCCTTAAGAGATTCTGAGCAAGCTGGACTTGTTAACTTTGGGAGTGGGGTAGCTTCCTGGTGCCCACAGAACTGTGTTGACCTGTTGGACTAGGATCTGTGGCTCACTGCAGGAGCTGGACCTAGTTGTGGACTTGTTTGCTACTGCCCAGAGGAGCCTGAGTCCACAAGGAATTCTTCCAGAGCCTGGATCTGACAAGAACTGTGTTGCACCTGGCTGGGAGGGACCCAGTCCTGCTAAGGACTTTTCAGTTAGACACCCAGGAGATCATGGGTCTGCAAAGGGCTATGTATCTGTTGCCTGTCAGGGCCTGGGTCTGCCAAAGCCTATTTCTGTTCAGGGTCAAGCTGGACCTGATTTTGTAAAAGACTTTTTGTGCAAGTTGTTTTCTTCCTTTCCCGTGTCAATAAAGCTCCTTATTCTGCAAAGGCTCGCCCCTACATCATGGAAGGGGTGGCAGGGGCAGCTCACAAATGCATTTAAGAATTAAAACCATAACAAAGCTGAAACTTTAACCACTTGTTTATCATTGTTGACTTAACTTCTCTGAGTAAATAAAGAGGAAGACCACCTCCACCTTTTTTTTAATAATAACTGACAAATACGTTAAAAGGAAAAGACACTCATAGAAGGAACTTTGCCAGGAAACAAAGGAAGTGGGAATGTTATTGTGAAAATTGTTGCCCTCTGAAACAGTATAAAAAGAAAGTAAAGGGTGAGATTAAGGAAACCAAGGCTGAAAAGAGGATACATCAAAAGTGCAAAAAATGGGGTCTGGAAAACAAGAATAGAAGATTAGGTTTGGAGTTTAAGATACCTACAAAACCTTTTCCGCTTTGGAGTTTAAAATACCTACAAAATACCTAAAATATCTTCAGAAGTAGCAGACCGTACACTGGGGCAGACAGAGGTTGGTATCTGTAATGGTTGTGCAAGAAGAAGAAAAACAGCAGTGCAATTTCCCATTTTTTGTGGCATGGCCTTATAATCCTGCTCATGTTTGATGCGTTTTGCTATGCTGAAGGAGGCAGAAGAGGGCTGCCATTCAAAATCATCCCAGAGTTCTAAATAAGCAACTGGAAGAGTTGTTCCAAAATGAAGAAGACATTAAGAGAAAGGAAGGCAAAAACAGGGAAAATGTCTGGGAAGCTGAAAATGATGTAGACAATCAGTTTAGAATAGAATGATGTCCAAGAAAATAAAACACAACAAGGACATAAGTAGTTATGGTTTTAGATTTCTTATATTTTTGTCTACTCCACTTTAAAAATAAAGACCAAAGTGATTCTAGAAGGGATTACCATATTTTTCCATGTATAAGACGATACTTTTCTCTAAAATATTTAGATTACAATTTAGGGTCGTCTTCTACACAGAAGCAAGGTGGGGGGTGGGATCAAAATGCTTTGATCCCTGCCTTCCCCCTCCACTTTCTTGCAAAGAAAGAAATTCTAGGTTAGAAAAGTGCGGGGTCCTTATATGTGGGGGTATATTATACACAAAACAATACGGTAACAATGTTTTGCTTTGGAAACAGTATCAAGAATAAAATGTCATCATTCATTTTGCCTTTCTCTGATCAGCATACTTACATTAGTATTAATCACTTAGAACTATGTATTTGATTCATCATTTCTACTCAACAGAAAGGAAATGGAAAGCAAGCAACCAAGCCCACACTGAAGGGTGCTCAAGAACACTCATCAGCATGTGACCAAAACCATCCCTATCACATGAACTGGAATACTGGTTGTTATGAAACTTGGACAATGCAGTGTGCACATAATCTGCAAAACTTGAAAACCCTCTGTGACAGCAGAGCTACCAAGGCAAACCACTGCAGGAAACATATTTAAATACTCCATGCTCCCATCTTGTGAAATGTGTTTTACCATGTAGAAACTGTTATATATA